AAGTTCCTAAGTGTTAATGGTTTCCAATGCAGTGATTTCCTTTTTCATTGCCTCCTACCATAAAGGGTTAGGTTGGGCTTGTTTAAAAGTTTTAAGCTCAGTAATTTGAGAAATAGAGGCAGTGTAGCAACTATGTTGCAAAGATAAAGAAGATGTAGATAGGAAATCACTGATTGGGTAGCAAATTTGATGTAGCAAATTATTTTTATTTTTATTTTTACCGAGTACCGAATCAAAAGATTCGTTCCCCGGGTCGATCTCTCGAGGAGGACGGTTCGGAATTTAGCGTTGGTATTAATCACACACGAAAAGAAAATAAATCCTAAAAATCTAATCAAGGATGATTTGGATAAATATCTAAAACTAATTAGAACTAGGAAAGCGAATAAAGAAATAACAATTAAATCTCTAGAGAAAAGGAAGAATTTCTAGGGGTCGGGAAATCTCATCAAGTTTCAAACTATGTTGAACAATTATTTGTTCGGTTACGAGATTTAACAAGCCTACACGTCTAGAGGGCTATGCTCAATAACTCTTCGTAACAAGAGCACATACATAAACGATAAACTCATTCAAACAAGCAACACATAGACAATACGTTTCCGAACAAGTCTACTCTATACGAGCGTAAATCAACCAACGCCTCCCCTCTCGGTTCTACACGTTGATTAACTAGGTTAGAATGGTGATCAATCAACTAACCCTATAATTCACACAACTCGCATAGATTGGACAAAACATATTCCACATAATTCAAACAAGAATCAAAATCCCTAACCCTAGGTGAATGGATTACCTCATGCTTAGATTCAATCTCATGTTAACTGGAATTAAAAACATAAAACCAATCAACAATAATAAAATAGAATTTAAAAACTTATAATCGGATTAAGACTTGCAAGATTACAATCTAAATGTCTTTGTGTCCAATAATCCAAGCATGAGAAAATAAAAAGAAAAGCGGAGAAAATTATCCTAACATTATTGAGTTTTTGGAGACAAAACTTCAAAGGAACGATATTGGGGGTTGTTCCTTAGGTCTGGAGGTTCGTTTTGATATATAGTGCGCGAAAAACGGAGCTAAAATGAGTAAAAATGAGCAAAAATAAACACAGGGGTCGACAGGGTCGCGACTCGCGAGTTGACTCGCGAGTCGCGAGTCAGACGGGTCGGGGCCGCTGGTAGGCTCTGTTAAAGTCGCGAGTCGCGACTTTTCTCTCCCGAGTTGCGACTTGAACTCGCGACTCGCGACTTTGTGCTCGCGACTCGCGAGATTCTGGGCTGCACTGCGCCATTTTGCGTTTTCGCCTCGTTTGAGCTCGTCCGAACTCGGAATTGAGTTCCGTTTTTTTCCTATGCGTCGCTAACGAACCCCTCTATCCAGTTATGCTCTCGAAACCAAGTTTTCCTGAAGAGAAAATTCGCCCGAATCTTTCGACCTACACACCAAAAACGACAAAACACAAAAAAAACTCGGAAAAACAAACAAAAAACACCTAATGACTCAAAATGAAGGAAAACACATAATAAAACACGAAACGGACTAAAAACTAAAGAAAAGACCTAAAACGGGGGGAAAAGAAAGATAAAATAAACACGAAAAATACAACAAAAATAAGACAAACAACTCCCCCACACTTAAACCTTGTTCGTCCCGAACAAAGAGAAAAAGAA